GATACTCTTTTAATATTTCAGTACTGTTCTCTTGACGCATTTCATCACTGAGTTGTTTCATGGAATCCAGAAGGCTCAGCAAGACTTCTCGCTCACGATATTCTTGAGAAATTGATGCCCAGGCACGCGTGTCAAAATGAAGTGCAATCCCTGGATGATCATTGTAAGGAAATTGATTCCTTGGATTCGAATTGAAGATTCCTCAGTAGTTGCAAAAGTATTCCAACAGATTGGAGCCCTTAGCTACTTGTTTCAACTGCCATTGTTGGTTAGAATCTTCAACCAACTTGGAGCCTTGTTGGTTGGTAGTTAATAACTGAAATGGAGCCTCAATTTAGCCTATAAATAGGAGCCTCAGGTTCCTGGAAAAGGTAGCTCGAGATAAAAGAAAAAAGGAGCTCGAAATGACAGAAAAAGAGAGCTCTCGGGAATAAAAAGAAGCTGTAGAGAGCTGTAGAGAGATAGGATGTTATTTCTCTGGAAAGAGGTGCTCTGGTAAAAGAGGAACTCTGGCAAAGGGAGGAGCTCCGGTAAAGGAAGCTCTGAAATAGAGAGAATTTTGGTGGAAGAATTCTCAACTGTAAGAAATCAGAGAGTGAGTGAGATTGTGAGAAAAGGAGGTTTTCGGGAAAATCAATCTAAGAAAAAGCTCTATGTAATGATCTGATTTTGTATGGTGGATCACCTGGTTATGGTGATTGATTCATGTAATTTGAATGTAATCTTTGGTCAATAAAGATTGAGGAAGAAGAACTCTTCCTGTTACCAAAAGTTCTGTCTCTGTTCTTGCTTTATTGCTGTAACATTCTGCTGGTTTTCTTCTTGCTGTTATTCAGTTTTCTTGCTGGTTTTTCTGTCCATTTTCTTTTCTGCATTTTGGATTGATCTTGGGCTGTGGGAGAAGCCAAAATCCCCAACAATCATAAATATTTTTAGCCAGTGTGGTCTTGCCAATCCCTCCCATGCCAATAACTGGGATGACTTTAAGAGCAGGTGGATATCTAGTAAGTCGATTCACTACGAAACCCGACCACAGCATTCTTGCCTCTTGAAGCAAGTATTGATGGACCGGTTGGCAAAGAAGTCTGGCTCTTGCTCTGGTGCAGATCTGTTGAGCCCCACGATTCCATAAGCTTCGCTGCCTTTGTCTTAATGGAATCAATTTCATCTGCTACTATCTCAAAGTTCACACAAAAAGTTTGGTCTCTCATTTGTCTTTCTTGAAAACCTTCCTGACCAAAATTCTTTGATATATGTGATTCGACCATATCTTCAGCTTTGTACGCTGCATCTCGAATTTCCATTTCCAA